CCACTTAACCATCTTAGCCTTGTAACATGCTCCAGGCCTGTGGGAGACCAGGTCTCAAAAGTTAAGGTAGATGGCACCTGGAATCACCCCTGAAGTTGAGCTCTGGCTTTCAAACACATGTTCACCCAGGCGTGTGTACACGTGTGTGCACGCACATCCCACACACACACACACACACACACACACATACACACACGGCTCCTTTTTCTCCTCCCTTGTTAGAATACTAACCACTAGATTTAGAACTTAGCATAAACCCATGGTGGTTTCACCTCAAGATCCTTAATGCTGTCTACAAGTGGCCTGTTTGACACTGAGAGAAGGATGCTCCTTCCTTTCCTGTATGGCAGCCCTGACTGAATCCTTCCCTTCAGAAGTTTCCCTATTCTACAGTTAGCATTTCCAATTTGTTCCTTCTTCTCTACTCATGAAAGTGAGTGGAGTGGAAACACGCACACGTGCACACCCATGAAAGAGACGCAGACAGAGAGACAGACAGAGAAGGGGAGCAAGGGTGACAGGCACAGAGACAGAGAGAAGGAAGAGGATGCAGAGAGGGGGGGGATTTTAGAATATTTTGTAGCAGTACAGGTGAAACACCAAGGCATGTGAAAAAATGAAACCAAGGTGAATTTAAGAAAGTTTTAGATGCAACTTCTTTTGCATTAGTTATCTCATTTGAAATATTAACTAGAAGTTATATTGCCATTACCCCTCAAATTTTTTCGTCTGGGAGTTTATTAAACTTATGTTTATGTGTAGATCATAGCTCTAGATAGAATTGCTGGCTAAGTTTTTAGACATGTGTACTCTCTTCAGATCCTAGCTCTAGATGCAATAGCTGCCTAAATTTGTACACAAAACAAACCCCCAAAACAAACAACAACAACAAAAAGCAGGATATCACTTATCAAATGGCCATTTCTGGTGTGCCATTTTGAATGCTAACAGGCCAGCTTGCATTTAATTGAACTTGTGCTTATTTGTTTAGCACTGGGGAACACACCCAGGGCCTTGTGTATGCCAGGCAATCCCTCTTCTCCCAAATAACTCACGCCCACACATGATGTCCCTACCAACCATGAAATGCCATCCCTTTACACTTTTCACTCTCATGGCCAGAGTCCTACCACAGGAGTGCCAGGAGGGGTCAGAGAGGGCAAATGTAAAGCCCTTATCAGGATGAAGTACCCCACCCATGCCAAGTGGTTCTCCCTTCCTCACACGGGGCTTCACCTACTCTCTCATCAACTTTGCATTCGTCTTACAGCTGAGAAAATTGGCAGCCAGAAAGATTGTTAGAATTTGTCAACTATCATACCTCCCATAAATAGAAGCCCAGATCTGTCGGGATCCAGTCTGCCGATTCTGCTTACTTCTCCAGGCCACTTTGTAAAGAGGGTGACGGTGAATGCCGTCACGGGGCATTTGTGAGGTCTGCAGACTGTGCTAACTCAGCTCATCTTGACTCCTTTTGCTAATGTTGTGTCATCTGCATTTAAGCAATGACACAGTTGAGAGAGAAGACAGACAGCTGAGGGGCTGGTGTGTGGCCAAGCTAAGGTTGTGTGCCCTCTCCAGTGTAGCTCACATCTTTTTCCCATATTGATTGAGAAGTGGAACCAAAATTAAAGGAGCCAGGGAAGAAACTTAGTGAGGCAAAAATACAGAGACTAAGAGGAAATGGTGGTAGGATGAGGGCATACATTCTGAAGGGAGGGAGGAGGAGGGGGAGGGAAGGAGGAAGCTTCCAGACTGTCAGGGTGTCCCTGGGATGATCCTGCAAGGAAGGGAAAATGCTTTGAAATTTAGCAACTCAGAGGACAAGGGAAGCAGCAGAGAGACGTTAGCTCCAGCCAGCAAGTGAAGAGAGATCAGAAGAGGTGCATCAGCCTCTCTTCTCTTTGAGAAGTTTGGTGTAGGATGGGAGAGAGACTTAAAAGTTTGAGGAAAAACTTTGCTTGTTTGAAGGGAGGAGATAACCTCACACTAACAGTCGAGATAGGGGAGAGATGGTTTAAACAGAAGAAAGGTCAGTGCTGAGAAAGGAAGGTGTAGAGCTTGAGTCTAGGGCATGTTTGGTGACTAGGAAGAAGGGTGCCGTTTTCAGTGACACAGGATATGGGAATGAAGTGATAAGAGGGGTAAGGGCAGGAAGGTTGGTGTCACACCCAGCCATTCTTTCTGTAATCCAAGGCAAGGATGTGGGTTGATATGGGAGCCGGCAGGGGAGGGCAGTAGTTGGGTGTGATAAGACGAAACCGTCTAGACACAGTGAACAAAGCCACACCATGGTTGAACTCTGTAACATATAAATGGCTTGAAGACTTGGCAGATGCCAAACTTAGAATCTAACACAGCATTACTACTGAGACTCAGGGGTCTCTAACAGTAATTCTTAGAGCAGTGCCTTTTTGAGCCTGAGCCCACACTCCCCAGAACTGACGTGGCCTTTGTTGTACGCAGGTTGCAGTTAGTCACCTTTGTCAGCCTTTACATTCCTCCTGTGCCCATATTAACTGTTTTCCCACACAGTGCTATCTTGGCAGTCTGCAAAAAGCTTAAAAGAATCCATGCTTTTATTCAACACCATGTGCTAAACCGTTTCAAATATATTTGTGTTCTGGAGAAGCTAAACAGACCATAGAGAGGCTAAATAGAGTATAAAAAACATGCATTGCTGGGTTGAGCAGAGACGGGGGTCAAGGGCCAGGAGAAGCAGGCTGGTCCTCTCAGGATCTGCCCAAACAAACACGCCCAAGCTTATCCCACAAGGGCTGGATTCCCACCCAGAGTTACAGAATACACTGGGGAGTGGCAGATAGAGAAGATTGTTCAGAACGCTGAGGATGATAGTGGCACAGTAACCAGGCCGGTCATTGGCAACAGTTAATCACTCTAAATGGGCCTTGGTCTAAACAGTTTCTCCCGGTTCCTATTGTGTGTATTTGAAGCAGCATTTTGTTGTTGGATCAATTCCAGTGATCACTCCTGAAAAGCAAAGTTATCACTCCCAAGATCCCTACTTTTCATGACCTCACCTGAAACATACTCAGGGACCCGAGAAGATGCCCCATCTGTGATGAGGGAATCCAGGGGCCACTAAGGAGCCATCTTCACTCGGTCAAACTCACAGCCATCTCTCTTGGTAGAAGTTTTAAGCAGCAAGGAAATATTTGATGTGTTTTGGCAATCAGCGGGTCAGACAGAAGAGCTATGCGATGAGGGTGTGTAATCTGACATGATTAGACAAGGCTCTTTAGTACCAGAACATTCATAAAGACACAAAGAAAGAGTATTAATAACACTTTCGCAGCAAGGCAGCTAGCCATTTTATATTTCCTTTCTTTAATCTTAGTGTTTTTCAACAAATCGTGGGATTTAATAGCGTGTTTTGGCAGATTAGAGGATTTATGGCCCAGATGTTTTTTGTTCTAAAAATGGATTAGGGTGTAAAGTTTGCTGGAATTCGTGGAACATGTTGAGGCAAGCCGGTCATTTTCTGTGCGATTAGTGCCTGCCTTCTGTCTCACAGCCCCTCCATCTGTCACAGCTCACCAATGGATCTGCTTAGATTTAGCCTCATGTCACAAACAAGTCCCTTTTCTGGGCAATTTCATATTACAGATCCATCTTATGCCATTTTATGCCCCAGTTAAAAGATAGATAGATAGATAGATAGATAGATAGATAGATAGATAGATAGATAGAGATAGATAGAAAATATTAGCCATCCTTTAAATATTTGCAAATGCACTGGCTTTTTTCTTCTCTCAATTCTCTTCTACCCCAAAATAATGCATTCTGCACAAGAATGCATAGCAAATAAATAAATGGCAACAGTTCAGTTGTGATCAAGTTACAAATCACCTTAGCTCCCTCCCATACTACCCTTTAAAACTATTTCAGCAGACTTCCTCTAAGCCTGAGGTAGGGAGTTTCAGACCCGAGATGGCCACCTGTCTTATTCAGAGTGAGTTAACAGTATCCACGGTGTCTTACCAATTTCAGGGACTTGGTGACATTCTGTGCTCGAGGTCTAGGGTCATCGCTCTTAGGGTTTAGATACATAGCAAACCACTGCCACCTGTAGTTCATTTCCCCAGCGAGTGGATTTACAGGGGGAAAGTGCTTCTTCCAGTCATCCAATAATGATCCAATCCATCTGTCTGTCACAGGCCTGATTTGTACTAGTACAAACTCTGACCCGACTCTTCTGATGTTATGAGAGACTTGGTAATACCACTGCGATTACCAATGTACAGGTCTTAAGCTAGAATGCACATGGCCTCTGCATGGGGGTAAAATAAAAATGTAATTTTAAGTTTTGGAATACTAAATGCTCAATGGTTAAGAACTTGTATGCTCTTGCAGTGGACCCATGTTGGGTTCCCAGTAGCCATGTTACAAACATGTTTGTCCCCAGCTCTAGGAAATCTGGGAACCTCTTCTGGCCTCTGTGGGTGCTGAACTCACATACATGGACACCTAGAGACACACACACAAGCACACACGTGCACAGTACAAAACAAACCTTTTTTTTTTTTTTTGGTTTTTCAAGACAGGGTTTCTCTGTAGCTTTGGAGCCTGTCCTGGCACTCGCTCTGGAGACCAGGCTGGCCTCAAACTCACAGAGATCCACCTGCCTCTGCTTCCCGAGTGCTGGGATTAAAGGCGTGCGCCACCAACGCCCAGCCAACAAACTCAATCTTTAAGACACACTCAGGTATTGACTTAAAAACTTAGACAAAAAAAATTTTATTTTAAATTTGTATTGAGAAGTAAGTAGACACGGTGTAAGCAATCTCTTTCCACTGTGGGCATTTGGCAGTATTTTCGTATATGATTGCGTGCATCCCCAATGGCACGCTGCTCATTCACTTGTCAGGTTCCGCCAGATCCTAACCACCTCCCTCTCCCCTCAAAGAAGTATGGCCATGGCCAACGTCAGCCTGACCTTCTCCCATGAATTTTGTACATGTGTTGTGTCTCATCTCCAGGTTATTTAAATGACCATGATGCTGTTACCAAGGCAATCCAAGAAGCTCGACAGATGAAGGAGCAACTCAGGCGGGAGCAGCAGGCTCTGGACGGGAAGGTGGCCGTAGTGAATAGCATAGGTCTCAACAACTGCCGGACAGACAAGGTTAGTGCAGGCAGCGCCTGTCTCTAGGACTGCTGTGAGCTCCTGGATGCACGCTCTCTTTCTCCCATTGCCTATCCTTACTGTCTTCAGAATGACAGCTCTTCCTTGCCCCTCCCCCATCAGCAAGGAGCTCAGTCTAGCGATGGGAAGTGTCAGAACACGAGATTGCACGTCCCCAGACCTTACTGGGGATGAGCATCGGTCCTTTTTGCTGCCAGTTTATATTAAAACAAAGTGGCATTTGAAATGCCATGTCGTCTGAGGGAAAATTTTGCCTTCCAGAGATACTTAACTTGTATTTGGGGATCAGCTGGATTTGAAAACACAGAATCTTCTTTAGTCAGCCTAAGCTTGGATGATACCCTGGCTCCTGAGCCTGTCATAATGTTGCCACTGTCAAGTGTTAGGGACTGAAGAATTGGAAAGTTTGACTTCATCATGACACAAAATGTGCTTTGACCTTCTGTATTCTACCCAAAGCCAGCAGAGCTTCTAAAGTAGCCAGAGACACCATGGCTTCATGCCTTGTTTTCTTTTGTGTTTTGCATGTAAGCTTTGTTTCACGTAGGGAAAAAAAAAATGTCACTGTATCATGCTTTGGGTGGAGTCTGGATGAAAATGTTGCATGATGACTGAATTCTTATCATCCCACTGATCCTGTAGGGGGGTGGATGATCAGCTATTTACCAATGGTTTCCAAGTCCATCCCCCTGAGGAGCACATAAGTCCTGTGGAAACTTCCCCGAATGAGCAGCTTGCTCTGATGAGTAGCTCTCTAGTTGGCCATGTGTTACACAGAATTCGGTAGGGAAGTGCCCGAGTATATAGCCTGCGTGAACTTGGAAGATGAGCCTCCCCAGCTGCTGCCCTCCTGGGTCCTCATGTGAGTGAAAATCCAGGATGGAGAAACAAGTCCACTTCTGCCCCCTCTCTGGAGGCAGCAGCATGATCATGGTGCCATGCCACGGGCCTGTAGCTCTCACGATTCTTGTAGCCCAAGCGAGACATTGAAACTAGAAGGGACAGCAAAAGGAAACATGGTAGCAGCCCTAAGAAGAAATGATAGCAAGCATAGAGGGATTTATGTTCAAATATTTAAACATTCTTGAAAGGACGCTCCAGCAAGAAACCCTTTCCTCTGCTCCCTGCGTAGAAATGAGTTTAACACTTGGCCAGATGCTAACGCGAAGTGACGGGAGCTATTCCTCGCAAGCATAGCTAAATTGCCGCTATTTGTTAAGCGCTTTGAATTCAGCTGTGGATGCAGCAGTTGGTTGTATTCTGTGAACATCTGTAACCCTCCCCCTTGTTTTTAATCCTCCAAAGCAGAGACAACTCTACCTATCTCCCCCACATTCCCCTCCCTTGTGCTGGCTGGGAATTGTCAAGTGACAACCAACCAAATCCTTTTGGACAGGAAGCCTTCATCCCGTATTCTATATACTTGCAAAATAGGTCTTGTGGTTGGATCCGGGAGCCCATTAAAAGCACTTTGATGGTATGGAAATCCATCTTCATGAAGTTCCCGAAGCCCCTAAGCAGCAAGCTGTTTAGCTGTGGTTACAGATCAGTCATTCACATCGGAGGGCAATAATTGTGCTGACGGCTTGTAAGGCAACAGGAGTACATAAAATAATCCTGGGCTCTCCACCATGGCAATGGGAGCTAATCCTCTCTAACACAGATCAGCTGTTGCTCTCATGCAAGGCTTCAGTGACTCCACAGCCTTCTGATTAAGTAACAGCAGAGCAGTCGCCTGCACTCACGCTAGTTCAGGCTCATCCACGCCAAGGAGGCCTGGAAGCCACTCTCATCCCACACCCATACCCATGGACATTTTATTTTGCCTCTCTGGTTAGTGCCTCCTGCTTGAGCCACAGACATTGCCTTTGCTGGGAAATACTCCTTCAACTTTCCTTCCTTTTTGGTAGAGTTGTAACATCAATTCTTTTTTAAAATCTTATCTTTGAAGTAATAACCAGTTCCTGTTAGTGAGCTGAGTCACTGCCACGACCCTCAAAGGTTATTACTGATTAACTTCAAAATCTTAACATTTTTATCTCTTTAGAATTTTCTTTTAAATTTTGTAACGGGGCAACTGTGTGTCTGTGTGGACGGGTGAATGTGTGTCTGTGTGAACGCTCATGTGAGTACAGGCACCACAAATGTAACACTGGAGCTGGAGTTACAAGGAGTTGTGGACCGCCCAACTGGGTGCTGGGAACCAAACTCAGGTCCTCTGCAAGTGTGTGCTCTTTACCACCGACCATCTCTCTCTCTCTGTGATTCCATCTTGAACTTGTATTTCTATCTGTTTTGAAGTGGAGATCCTATGAAATGAAGCCTTTCTGTCCCGTATGACAGTGTGACACATTCCTTCTCTAAAAGCATGTAGCCAGAGGGCCTGACTTGGTGTCTGTATGGAACTGCAGCATTGTAGGAGAGAGAGCCAAGTGTGCTGCAGAGCTTGGCAGCAAGGACCATCACACTCTCAGGCTGCCCTTTCCTGTTGGATAAAACCTGGGTATCAGTTCTGCGCTGATCAACCTGTGTCTCTGTAGCCTATGGCAGGGGGATGATTAATGTCAAACTGGCATCTTTGAAAAAGTGATTATTCAACATTCACACCTACTGTGTGTTAGACAGTTCCGAGTGCTGGGAGGTTGGTTTTCCACCATAAATTACAAACCCTGCTGGCTATTTAGGTGAAATTATTAATTGCATACTTTTATGTGTGAGTCCCATCTATCAAGAGTAGATACAGAATCCAGGTTGCTTAGCATGTCCTATCAATTACTAATCTGTGATGACAGAGGTGAATACTTGTGCTTCATGCAGAAACATCCTGTATGTTGACTGTCTTCCCCAAGTTCCTGCCTGCCCTTCTCATGGGTTTTCATGATCACACATGCATCTCCATCCGGGGTCAGTTCCCATGCAGGCTACGGGTTAGCTTGAAACTTCCCTTTGTTGTTCCCAAAGCAAGGCACCATATAAAGTCTTTTCCCGGTTCCACTAGCATCTTCTCATGCCATCTCAAGTCCCCAAAGAATACTATTTGCTACCTACAGTAACCATCCCTGGACTAGAGAGATTGCTCGGTGGTTACCAGAGCTTGCTGCTCTTAGAGAGGACCAGTGCTGGCTTCCAACACACATGTCAGGTGACAACAAGCTGGAACTCAAGCTCCGGTAGATCTACCCCTCTCCTGGCCTCTGAAAGGCACTTATATATTTGTGTGCACACTCAAAGGCATATTCACACACACACACACACTCAAACACACACACTCACACACACACAGTCTATGATAAGAAGATGGAGGTAAGGCAGGAGGATGCAGGGGCTGGGAACAGAGCAGAGGGGACTGAAAGGAGCCACCTCTAGCCTCAGGCTGTACACTGATCTGCAAAGATGCAGGGAGAGGGTCCCAAGACCCAAATAACTGAAGCCCCATCCTGGAGATCTGTTCCCTTGGGTGTACAAGCCTTGTGCACATTAACTTTTCTTCACATATGAAAAAGCATGGTTGTCCCAAGTAGAAGGTCTCAGTTCTACGTAGCTGTAATTGGCCAGTGAAAACAATTAGAGGTGTGAAGACAAGGACAAATGTTTGCTGGGTGATATGTACCGAAACGCAGGATGAAAGTCATTTTTACTGAAACACATTTTAATTGAAGACTTCTAAAAGATTTTTCACTTCTTTACTTTTCTTGGAAGTGTTTCAACATACCCAAGAACTGTGTGTGTCAGGTTTCTTGGAAACTCTGGGACACAGTGTTATTTATAATTGTCATCTCTGGTTAATTATAGACTGATTTTATATTCAAATAATGTTATCTTCTGCCACAGATCTCTGCTACAGATGACACTGTAGCATAAACCTCGGTGTTAAGGGTGGGAAAGGGGGCATCTCAGGTAGGAAGAAACAGAAGTGCTTGAAGCTGTGCTTCCTTAACCAAGACAGGGCAGACTCTTGACCACACAGGCAAGGATAGCAGACTCTTGGTCTGGACCTGGCAGTGTCTGCTATAGATCATAGAGCCTGAATTGTGCTGTGCTGGTCCCAACAGGCAAAGTGATTACAACAGAAAGTTGAACACACACCTGCAGGGAGAAGCTAAACAGAAAGTCCCCCGATCCTTTCTCTCCTTCTAAATGTGGCTCTACTGGGAAGGGTGAACCTCATGCTGTTGATCTTTTTGGAAACACAGTCAAGAGGAAATCTAACTACAGGAACATAAACAAATAGTATTTAATCACTATCAAGTCAGAGTGTTCAGAGGCAAGATTTAGTCACCCTTCATTTATCAGCTCCATGATTTGTGGATCAAAAGCTCTGTGATTCTTGATTTTTTTCCCTTTGGGTGACAAAATGGCTGGTGCACTTACAACTAAACCATCCATCATCAGATGGCTGAGGGGGTGGGGCCATTTCTCCTTGCTAAGCTCCATTCCCATGCATGGGCCTCCCTCCACTTGCTAGCTTCCACAGACATCTCCCTGGCTAGAAGTGTGTCCTATGAATTTAAGGAAATCCCCTTAAGTTGCTCACAAATCCTTTTCTGTAATGGAATTAGAGAATATCTCTTTCTGAAATCAAGGGACACTTTGACATCAAAGGTGGCCTTAGTAGAGTATAAAGGAAGTGCCAAGTAGGTGTTGGACAGGAAAAGGCAATCATCAACCCGACTATCCCATAAAAATGGCACCAGAGTTCTCCAATGCTCCAACTATCAGCCCGAGTTGTTCTTCATAATCCAGGCCCCTCCCTGACTATAGCTGTCTCAACACTACATATCCAGGGCCTTATGCCTTACCTGTGGCTCACAAAAAGTTAAATAATATCAAAGCATGGGCACAGGGAAACACTCTTGATGATAGGTTAGAAACTCTGGCTCTGTGTTAGCACATATGCTTTCCATACATGTTAGGAAGAACCTTTGTCCTGCTTTTCTTATGCAAATTAAGGGACATAAGCATGCTAATGTATGTGTTTG